AGAAAATTACATCATAAATCTTAGTATAAAAGAACACTCAATCAATATAAGAATTAGAATTATTTTGACGTTAACAATAGAGTTTACATTACAAGAAAAAGATCTATTAGAGATAGAAAGACATACGGTGATCGGAGTAACGTAATTTGAAGAAACAAACCTTGTTGACTTGTAAAGAGTCAAGAATCGANACTGTTTGAAAAAACNAATGTCNATTATATATGAGATGTATAATAAATTTGAAACCCTATTTCATAATTATTTTTTTTACGTTATACATTTTATTTTCATTTTTTTCTAAAAATAATAATTAATATATATAACAAACAACGGAAACACTAATTTTTAACATAATACGTTTGAGAAACGTCTCTAAATTCGAAAAGTTTCGTCTCCGTTAATTGTCGACGTCCCTAATATGTTAGAGACATCTCGGGGACGTTACGGTGGTGTCTCTGAGCCGTACCCGTCTCCGGAACGTTTCCAGTACGGGAGATGGCACCAAAACAAAGTACCCGTGCTTCATAGAAAGTAATACTATAATAGTGTAGGAATTTCCTACCTCAGTGTGAATTATGTAAAGCATATATATATATAGGATTTTTTGATATAACTCAACTGCTGGCTATATATACCATTTAATTTGTTCTTTTAATACACCTGAATCAAATTTGGAATGAATAATTGCACTTAGTGGCGAAAAGTGAACTGGAAATTAAAAGAGAATAATAAAGGACAAGCAAAACATTGTTGAATTAATTTTGAACAATTTTAGTTATCTTTCATTTAATTTTTATGGGATTAGTTAATTTTTTCCATAACAATTTTTTTTTTTGGTAAGCGTCTAATTTATCAAATGTTGTTGACAACTTCTTTTTTTTTTTTTAACCAAATATTATATATTAAGATTTAATTTAAGTGTGCATTCACATAAATTAGACGTCTACATAAAAAAACTACACATCCCGTAATAGTTAAATTACACATCACATATATATTGACTCTGTTTCATTGCTATTTACGTAATTAGGCAAGCTACCATTTACTTAATTTATATTTCTCTTTTCTATCATTAACCAAACTAATTAATTTGTTCTCGTCTAAACCTTTTTTTACATATACAACTCAAGGAATTTGTAGCAAAATCCCAACTAATCTTTGGAAGCCTAATCAAATGAGGTTCCGGTTATTACATTTGTTTTTAACATTCTATCTTATCTTTTCATGCTTTCTATATTCATTCTGTTTCAAATTCCAACATTTTAGAAACGGATTCATTGGTAAAGAGTTTATGTTTTTGTTGGATTGTAACTGACTAACTGCTACTTAAAGTAGTTTGTGACACGAAAAAAAATCTTCGGAATATGTAAAATAGTTGGATCTATATTTGCCATTCTACAAGCAATAATCAACAAAAATTGAAATGGCAATGGAAAACACGACTCCGACACTATCTTGGTATTATGATCGGTTATAGTTTCGTCTTAATGAAATATATATCTAACAAAAATGTTCGGAATATGTGATTTAAAATATTGATATCGAAAATTTGTGGTTAAAGGGCATTCATATATACCAATCGCTTTCTTCCCCCGTGACATCATTGTCGAGGTTTATTGCTCTCCGTCTCTCTCTTGTGGTCCTTTACCTCATTAAATCTCTCTTATCACATTCCCAATTTATTTTTACATTTCAAGTGTATTCAATAACCCAAAAACACTTTCTTACAATATTCTCCTCTCCTATTTTCTTCTTGCTTTCCGTTTTTTTCCTTCTCCTTGGTCGTCTTTTCTTTTCAACTTAAAACCTTATCATAACTTAAAAGCTACACACCTACTTGCCACATAACTTATCTCATTTCTACATTTCCTAAACTATTCCTCAACTAGTGT